CAGCAGACGACGGAGAGGCCTGGAGCTCTGCAGCAGACGACGGAGAGACCTGGAGCTCTGCAGCAGACGACGAAGAGACCTGGAGCTCTGCAGCAGACGATGGAGAGGCCTGTGGCTCTGCAGCAGACAACGGAGAGGCCTGTGGCTCTGCAGCGGTGGCAGGAACCGACTCCTCTGCGGTGACGACAGGAGCTGATCTTCTGCGGCGGCGGCGGCGACGGGAAACAGAAACTGATGCTGAGTCCTCTGAGGCGACAGGAGCAGGTGCACCAACGGCTAGGCACTCAGCAGGCGGAACAGCGGCGAAGGTGATGGGTGCAGGAGTCAGAGGGGCAGAGGAGAGTTCAGAGTGTGTATAAGTGACCTTGGGTGTGATGAGAATCCTAATTTCTATTAATAATTGATTGTACTCAGGGATCAGAATGAGGCCTGGCCGTAAAACTAAAAATTCCTCCATCAGGGAAAACAAAACATCTGAGCAGTCCGGGTTATTTTTAGCAGAAGTAAACAAATCTAATAAAGTCTGGTTTATGTATGCAAGATCATGGGGAGAATAAGTGATTGACGGGCAAGTGTCACTATGTGAGGATGTGGTGTCAGGTGTCGCCCCCACCGGAAACCTGGGAGGTGGGTCGGCGGAACACGCCCCACAGAGTCACTGGGAGAATGCCCAGGAGGCACGGTCTGACTGGGTTTGACAGCCGCGGTGTGATGTGACGGCGAGAGGCCGGACTCCGCCCCCACCAAGAACCTGGAGGGTGAGGCCACGGAATCCGCCCCTGTAACGTCAACCGGACCGGACCCGCCGAACCGAGCAGAAGTGGACCGGAGCCTCCACGGGACGTCGGACCTCGCCCCCACCGAAAACCTGAGAGGTGAGGCGGCGGATCCGGCTCCCACAGAAACACCAGAACCAACTCTAAAATTCTGCTCAGCCGACGAAACCGGCCCGGTCGCCGCGGGCTGCCCTCGGGACCGCTTCCCACCTCCCCGGCGACGGCGGGATAGTCGAGGGACAGGAGCAAAACAGAACTCATCCTCGATTTCTTCGTCCTCCCCTGACGTCCATCCCGAGTAGCCGGGCGAAGCGGACTCAGAAGCAGGAGCCTGGTGGGTTTTCCGGTGCCGAGCTCTATTCTCCTCGAGGACCAGGAGTGGAGAGGACAGGATTTCCACCTCCTGGTCATAATGTCCTTGAGGACGGACGGGCCTGGTGCAGAACCCGCCGCACCGGATTGTAGTCGTGTTCATCACGGGAGGATGAACGGAAGGCTCGGAGGGGAAAAAGAAAAAAGGTGAGTTGCCGAGAGAATCCTGCCCGCTGGGTTCTGATGAGTGGTCGGGTCGTAATGTCAGGATTTTGTGGACAGGAACGAACCCAGTAGTGCAGACAGGACTCAACTCGGCAGATTACAAAAATAAGTATTTAATGGAGGAGTGTATTTACAAAATAACACGCTGACGAGGCAGCAAAACTTACGTGATGACAGAAGGCTCAGAGGGAAACTCAGGGAGGGCAGGAGAGCTCAGGGGAGACGCAGGAGAACACAGGAGAATGCAGAGACCCAACGAATACGACCCGACGAGGAACAACACAGAACAGACAGCTTTTATACAAGGACAAGACAAGACGTGATTACAACAGCTGTGACGAGACAAAGGTAGCACCAATTAAACTGACGAGGAAACACTAGGGAAACACAGACACAAACAGAAACAGCAAATGGTACCATCCTTACAGAAGCGGGCACTGTACAGGTCTGTCGTGGTGAAGAGAGAGCTGAGTCAAAAGTTGAAGCTCTCAATTTACCGATCGATCTACGTTCCCACCCTCATCTATGGTCATGAGCTTTGGGTTATGACCGAAAGAACGAAATCTTGGATACAAGCGGCCAAAATGAGTTTTGTCCGCTGGGTGTCTGGGCTCTCTCTTAGAGATAGGGTGAGAAGCTTGGTCATCCGGGAGGGACTCAGAGTAGAGCCGCTTCTTCTCCACATCAAGAGGAGCCAGTTGAGGTGGCTCGGGCATCTGGTTATGATGCCTCCTGGACGCCTCCCTGGTGAGGTGTTCCGGACACGTCCCACCGGGAGGAGACCCAGAGGAAGACCCAGGACACGCAGGAGGGACTATGTTTCTTGGCTGGCCTGGGAACGCCTCAGGATTCCCCCGGAGGAGCTGGACCAAGTGGCTGGGGAGAGGGAAGTCTGGGCCTCCCTACTTAAGCTGCTACCCCCGCGACCCGACCCCGACCCTGGATAAGCGGAAGAAAATGGATGGATGGATGGATGGATGGATGGAAGGAATTAATTAATTAATTAACTAAGTAAATTTCAGTCCCATTTGTTTGGACATTAATGTGAAAGAATAAAAAAAAAAGACACCCAAAACTATCATCATTAAAAAGGCTTGAAAACTCTATCATCCAGGTAAAGAAATTACAAAAAAAGGTTAAATCGTGTCATTTGGACAGGTTTTTTTTTTTGAAGAAAGGTTTGATTTTTCATCCAAAAGACTTCATCATTCTGAGACCTGCCACTAAAAACTGTCTTATAAATAGCACCTCCTTGATGTTTTAAGCCAGCCTGCTGTGGATTACACGAAACCTTTCTCCCAGAAAGAAACCGTCCAGTTGACATGACTCAACCCTTTTTTGTGTATCATTATCAAAATGTTAAAAATGAACAGATAATGAATGAATAACTGCAGTGGGATTGTGTTTTGTTCTCTCCTTCAGATTCCTGTCAGCTCATGTTAGACACAAATACAATCAGCAGAAACCTCCAAGTGTCTCACAGCAACAGGAAGGTGATGCACGTGGAGGAGGAGCAGTCATATCCTGATCATCCAGACAGATTTGAAGGCTACTGTCCTCAGCTGATGTGTAAAGATGCTCTGACTGCTCGCTGTTTCTGGGAGGTCGAGTGGCAGGGCGAGGTTGATATAGCCGTCTGTTACAGAAAAATCAAAAGGGGTGGAGAGCGAGCTGTCTGTGAGTTTGGAAGAAATTTGGAGTCTTGGAGCCTGAGTTGCTCTGGCCGCGGTCATTACACTGCCTGGCACAATGAAAAAGGAACATCCATCTTCTCCTCGTCCTCTATCTCTGACAGAGTAGCAGTGTTTGTGGATTTTCCTGCTGGCATTCTGTCCTTCTACAAAGTTCTTTCTGACACCCTCATCCACATCCACACCTTCAACACCACATTCACTGAACCTCTTTATCCTGGATTTTCTTTTGGATTCTGGAACAGGACGGGTTCCACCATACGCCTGATTTCCCTTTAATGCAGAGTGTTCTCCAAGTAGAGAATCAATTTTGCTGTCTATGTTTACTTGGACTGAACTTGCACTCCACATCAATTTGTTTTTCAGACAAGTCGTACTTTTGCAGCTTTTGTGTACACATACCTGCAGGTAGTTCACGCATCGTGACCAAGCTATTACACGTGCGCCCAGAGCAGCTAATGGTTGCCATTGCATGGAAGCACCCACTGTTTTTAACACGAGTTTAATTAATTGAACAAGTTAATCTAAAAGAGAGACCTGTTACATACAACATACTAAGTAAATGAGGAAAAGAGAACATGAGGGTGGAGGAAGTAAAAAAAAATCATCGCACACCATGCCCTGGCCGGGTCACAGTGTAAAAGATGCAAATAAAGATCTCGCAACATAAAGCAGCAACATGCAATGACATCATAATACATTTCAATTCAATTCAATTCAGTTTATTTATAAAGCGCCAAATCACAACAAAGTTGTCTCAGGGACTTTACAGGAACATTCACATAAAAGCCAGTTAGTAAAGTTCTCTATCTAAGGAATCCAGCAGACAAGTTGAATCTTGGCTTCGTTGCAGTCTCCCATCCTGAGCAAGCACAGTGGAGACAGTGGGAAGAAAAACTCCCTTTAACAGGAAGAAACCTCCAGCAGAACCAGGATCAGGACAAGAGACCATCTGCTTCGACCGGCTGGTTGAGAGGACAGGAAGGAAACAGACGAACACAGAATGTATGAAATGAAAATAGAATTTATGCATAAAGGTTCACAGGACAAGAGAGCAAAAAGCAGGAGGGAGGCAGAAGCGGGTGAAGTGACCGTCTTTGTCGAGAGCAAACGAGCGAATGAAGGATGGAGTTATAGAGGCTGAGCCCTCCATAACTTTACACAAGGATAAAAAAAATACTGGAAGTTCCAAATTTAGATGAAAACTAGACTATCATCTGCCCCAGTCATGCGAAAAATAGAATTCTTATAAAAGTATTAGTTATAGCATGTTTGTAAACAATAATGGAGGTGCCCTGGTTTATTATTATTATTATTATTGTTATTATTGTTATTGTTATATTTCTGTCAGTTTGGATTAATGGGGCACACTTGTTAGATTTTAACACTGAATTCACACATTGTTTTTCTGCTGTGAAGATTTAATTTATCTCATTAAAGGTTGAGATAAATGTGACAAAGTATCTGACAGCTTTCATTTAGTGAGTGGTTCATATGACACTTTGTATTTGTGAGAATTGGTTTTTGCAACTGGTAGAGCTGCTGCCTCTCAGCAAGCAGGTCCCTGGTTCAAATCCCGGTCCGGGGGCCTTTCTGGGTGGAGTCTGCATGTTCTCTCCGTGCATGTGTGGGTTTCCTCTGGGTACTCCGGTTTCCTCACAGACCAAAAACGTTTATGTTAGACTGATTGGTAACTCTAAATTGTCCCTAGATGTGAGAGAGTGAATGGTCGTTTGTCTCGTTTGTCTCTATGTGTCCCTGTGAGGGACTGGAGACCTGTCGAGGTTGTACCCCGCCTCTCGCACAGTGATGGCTGGACATGAGCACCAGTGACCTCCTGTGACCCGAAAAAAAAGAAGCGATTAAAAGATAATGGATGGTTTTTGCTGATAATTTCATCAATAATTATCACAGGCTTGTTTGTTGTGATGTCATGTCCAAGTTGACATTTTCAGGTCAGTTTCTTTATACCGTGTTCATTCTTTTATTATTCTAATATTGTAATATTGTTTGTAATGTGTAAGAATTGCTCTGACATAATTTTAATGCAAAGACTTTGGTAAATTGTCATTTCTTCAATCCATTTTTGAATCCAATTAATTGTTTGACTTAAGGAATTTGGGGTATGTGAAATGAAAGAATATATTAAATGATTTTACTAGGACAGTATTTTTGTGGTGTCTGAATTTTTTTTTTTGTATAATTTTGTTTACTTGTAAAATTCATTCCAGTGAGATTTTTGTATGTATCGTTTTTCTTTTTTCCACAGTAATTTTGATGTACAACCTAAAGGAATTAATCAAACACATTTAAATCTAGTTATGTTTGTTTTCAGTTTGTTATAACTAATAAATCCATGTCAGAATCCTATCCAAACCCAAGTTTAAATGACCTTTCTCTGTCAAAAATAGGTTAATATTTTGTTCTTTGCTCATCGTATCACAGAAACAGCACTAGTAAAAGTCACTAATGATATTCTCATGGCCTCAGACAATGGACTTGTGTCTCTACTGGTCCTGTTAGACCTCAGTGCTGCATTTGATACAGTTGATCACAATATTTTACTACAGAGGCTTGAATATGATATTGGGATTACAGGAACAGCTCTAAAATGGTTTAAATCATATCTATCTGATAGATTCCAGATTGCAAATTTAAGTGAATCTTCTTTATACACCAAAGTTAGTCATGGAGTTCCTCAGGGCTCAGTGCTTGGAACAATACCACTTTATTTTATATATGCTTCCATTAGGTAAAGTTATTAAACAGCATGGAATAAATTTTCATTGTTATGCTGAAGATACACAATGATATTTGTCCATGAAAACCAATTAATTAAATATGTTACTTAGACTACAATCATGTCTTAAAGACATAAAAACCTGGCTAGCCCTAAATTCTCTGCTTTTAAACTTGGAGAAGACAAGGGTTGTGGTTTTTGGACCTGAGCATCTTAGGAATAAACTTTGCAGTCTTTCTCTAGATGGCATTAAATTGGTCTCCAGTCCTAACATTTAAAATCTTGGTGTTATTTTTGATCAGGACGTCTTTTAACCTCAACATTAAAAACGTTATCAAAACCGCTTTCCTCCACCTGCGTAATATCTCAAAGGTTTTTTCATTCAACCTTTATTTCTACAGGTAAATCCCATTGAGCCTCGAGGACTCATTTACAAGAGAGACCTGATTTCAACAAAGAAAGATGACAACAATGGACAACAGCAACAACCATAAACAGTTATAAAAAGTCATACTACAGTTGTTGTTTTTTTTTTTACAAATAGGATGGCTAAAAGAAAGAGGTAACAAAAAAAACAGCTAGTTTCTAAGGCGAATGTAGAAAACATCTTTAGAAACATCTTCTTCTTTTCGGATGAAAGAAGAAACATTTCTACATTTTTTGTTTGTTTGTTTGTTTGTTTATTGAACGTCCAGAGGACCAGACGTAACTTTTATAGATTTTTCTACCTGGATTATTGAGCAGCATCAAGATATCTATATTTAAAATTCTATATTTTTCTTCATCATTTGATGTATTTTCACTCATTGTGCTTTTGTTTCTTGTATACAGATTATTTTTAGTTTTGAATTAAAGTTTATCTTTGATTTAAAGCTTTAATTTAAAGTGTAATCTTGTTTTGTGATTTGTTCATCTGTTGGTTAGAATAAAGTTGAACCAAAGGCTGCGTCTCTTCTTTAAACATGTTGGAGGGAAATATTCCTGAGATCCAATAATTTTGTCTTTTTATGATTTTTCAGTTGAATTAACTTCAATTAACAGATTATTTAATAAAATCAAAGGGAAAACTGGATTTCACAAAAAAGCCGGCACCGTTTATTTATTTTTAATCTTCACTGATAAAAAAAACAACTTATATTTTCTGATGCTGCTCAATAATCCAGGTAGAAAAATCTAAAAAAGTTAAATCTGGTCCTCTGGACATTCAAAAAAACAAAACAAAGCAAAACAACAAAAAAATGTAGAAACGTTTCGTCTCTCATCCTGAGGACTTCCTCAGTCTGAGGTGCTGTATTCAGCTCAGTCTCTTAAATAGCACCTTCTCAGAGTGGATCAACCAGTTTGCTGCTGACAACCAAAACCAGCTGATCACATGCTCAAGAAGGACCATCAGCCTAACAATGGATCATTAGCACCTGATGGCTGTTTACTGTTCACAGAGGGCTGAGTGATACTAGCAATCACAGCATTGTAAGAGGGGGACAGTTGAACCCGGAGGCTCCACCCCTGTTTAATGATGGACGGTTTCTTTTCACAAAGATGGCCTCCTTTACTCCTCTCTCAAACCATCGTTCCTCTCTGTCCAGGATGTGAACATCTTCATCCCTGAAAGAGTGACCTCTGACCTGGAGATGAGTGTAGACCTCAGAGTCCTGGCCTGATGATGCTGATCTTCTGTGCTGGGCCATCCTTTTGGCCAGTGGCTGTTTAGTTTCCCCGATGTAAGACTGATCACCCTCCTGACACTGAACAGCATACACAACATTACTCTGTTTGTGCCGGGGGACTGGATCTTTGGGATGAACCAGTCTTTAATGTATTTTGGGGTTTAAAAGCCACTGGGACGTTATGTTTAGAAAATAAACGTCTCAGTTTCTCTGATACTCCCTCAACATATGGAATGACCACTGGTCTGGGTCTGGGTTCCTCCTTTTCACCTGATGGCTGACTGGAGTCCTGTTTGGGTTTCTTCTCTGCTTTCAGGAAGGCCCAGTTAGGATATCCACATTGCTCTAGAGCCTGTCTTGTGTGGGATTTCTCCTTCTGCCTGGCTCCTGAGCTAGTGGGGATGCTGTCTGCTCTGTGGTACAGAGTCCTGATGACTCCTAACTTGTGCTCCAAAGGGTGATGGGAGTCAAACTGCAAATACTGGTCTGTGTGGGTGGGTTTGCGGTACACCTCAGTTTGCAAATGTCCTCTATCAGAGACTGAGACCTCACAGTCCAAGAAAGCCAACTTGCCATTTTTTACATCTTCTCGTGTGAACTTGATGTATTTATCCACA